AATCGAAATTGGATTTCGATGTTTTTATCCATGCCGAAACCTATTTATTTCCCCTGATCAACGAGTTTTTTGTTTATTTTATTACAAACTATTAAATATGTGGTAATTTGATCATTTCAAATACATTGGAGTGCAATTTTTTAACTTAAAAACTTTAATCAAAACTGAATGTGCACTCGATCAAAGATAAGATTTTATGGACATTTAGCCGAAATCAGTAAAATGAAAATCACGTAAACCCAGTATGTCGACATTTTAATAGCGCGGACGTGCCTAACATTAACGCGAACGAATATAAAAAAAAATAATCCACTATGTTTTTTGACATGACGGGACTGGAAGTAATATTTCGAGATGTAGGTCTAGACTAATAACCTTTGTGCAATATTGCTGATAATTTGCTCCCTACATTTTTCCAGAATAATCATTTTAGTTTTTATAAATGACCAGAATGGAAAAACGTCACGACGCTTTTCACTAAAATAGTGCTAAGAATATCACAAGATACGACTTTCAAAATTATTTCTGTGCATATTTCTTAATTATCTTTTGCACATCTTTCTGTTTCAACTTAGTGCCCTAGTTAATCTATGCTAGAAATTGAAATTTTATGTGTTAATAAAAACAGTTAAGTTTGGTCCGTTTAGCTCAATAGGTAGATCGTTGGACTGTAAATAGGGTGACCCGGGTTCAATTCCCGGACGGCGCAGGTCACTTTCGTTGTGAATGATCATGAAATCCTTTATATGTCATTCGGACTGTACCTCTGCTCTGGCATGTACATTATTAAAGTTATTGATTATCAAATGAAGGCAACTTGTACAGGTAAACATTACCCAGGAACGAAAGTATTAGTGGAATTGGGGGAAAGATAACCGGATTCAAAAAGCTTCCCCTGGTTCTGGCTCTTTTGCGTGCCAAGTGTTTAAGTGCTCAAACACGCGACCTCGATTAAAAATCTCACCCGAAATACTGTTTTAATAATTTTTGTTCGCAAGCCCGGGAATCGGAAGCACAGGATTACAAGCTGGTTGAGCTATGAATTCGGTCATCTTAATTTCTGGACTATCCTCCAACTTCTTAAATCATTAATATATACTTTTCTGGAGGACTCGCCCATATGGGCAACCGTGCTGAGTTGAAATAAACTCAAATACACACAACTAGCAGCTTAAAGTGAATAAAAGCGGTGATCAAACCGATATTATTTCTGTCAAGAACACAAAAAAGTTAATTGTACCATGCAGGCGCAATTTTACTTTATGCTAGAAGAGGCATTTCAAAGATATAAAGATCCATGGATTTAATGAAGAAAAATTAAAAAAGCCTAACAACCAAACAAGAAACAATACCAGTTGCAGACAAACAAATAATTCAGCGTTTTTTCAATTTTAAGGATCATACTAGGGGGGAACGCCGTTCGTTACCCAAACAATCAAGATGGCGGATGCAGCCGAAAAGTAAGTTTTTCCTTTTCATCTCTGAAATTCGTGATGTTCGTGTAAAGGTATATAAATAATAACCTTCTCCACAATTTTCCGGACACACAGGATTTTATTTCATGATTTTTCGCCCCGTACTTCTTTTGAAATGTGCGTCACTAGAATCGAAGCGAGAAAATTTTCCTCCGGTTTGATCTTGATAACGTACGGCTTCTTCTCTCAATTTACTGTTTCTTTTACAAATATGTATATTAACTGAAACCACTGACTTTAGAAAGTTGTAGTAGGTCGTCATCTAAGCATCCATGCCCATTCTGGCCAGATTTACTGCTGTAAATATTCATATCGGGGCATTTTCCGGAAATGATAACGTATGGCGCACAAAATATCAATGATAACGTACGGCGCATTTTTCTACTTGGTGGATTTCCATTTGTTCAGTCAGCTGATAATGAAATATTTGTATGCAGGAAATGATAGATATCTGAAAGAAAATGTTAATAAATTCAGAAATAAATAATTGAACAAAGCTGCCCCATCGGGAATGAATATCTTTCTAGCTGGTGGCATAATATATATTTGTTGTTAATATACTAACCATTATCTACCAATTAAAACACACATGTATAGTTTAATAGGGAATGCAGCTTCACATACATAGTTTATTCATTATTTTATTCAAATTAAACATAATTAATAAGAATTTCATGGATTTCAATGCATTTCTAAGATAAAAAATATTTTACCCAAAGATGAGCATAGTATATCTTTAATTGGTGTAGGTTCTGTATTGAATATATTGAATAAGTTAAAATAATTTTATGCGAAAAAGTTCAATAAATTTAGTAAATAAGAAATTTTCTATTCATTTGAGGGGCGGTTAATATTGAAACGCTACCATTTAGCGTGACGTTGAGCCACTTTGACGCCAGATATTTGCACGACCTAGCCATATAGTTTTTTTTATATTTTAAATGAAAGGAACGTCATAATTTGATCAAAACAGTTACATGCATTGCCTTTCATATTCTGGCGAGTTTTTTCCACAAATGCCCCAACAAAAACGATCATGCGCAATTTCTTTAAAAAAAGTATTGTAGGTATCTGCAATTAAAGAGTGACATTGAAATTTGCTAATTAATTTCTAGTGGTAAACATTTTACCGACTATGAAATATAAAATTTCAAATCGAAATTGGATTTCGATGTTTTTATCCATGCCGGAACCAGCTCATGCGCTCAGATGACGTCATTATCTTTATGCAAGAACGGTTATAAAAATTAAGTACTACGCTACTATGAAAATATCCTTTATCTATATATACAAAATTAATATAGGTTGGCCTTATGACGCCATTTTTACTTAATGATCATCAAAAGCGGCCCACGAAAGCGCATGTGCAAATTTATGCAAATGACTATTTTTACAAACACGGTTCTATCACTGTCCTATATGACCTGTTTTTGAAACAGGTGTATAAAAAAGGAGTAAACTAGAAATATGTCCATAGGACACGGGTGCCCCCACACTCCACCGATTTGTCAATCTTATGTATCTAGGTCAATTTTTTTTTGGCTACATGTGCCAAAGTTGAAAACTAAAAATCTTTTATTAAGTAAAGGGCAAATACTATGTACAGATACTTAATAAATTCACAAGAAAACCCCAAGGTGCATAAGTACACATGCTGACCAACATTCTTGTAACCAGGGCAAATACTTTTTGAGTTACGTGCAACACAAGTTGAATATTGTAAATTTCTACTAAGTCAAGGGCAATAACTCTAAAATACTAAAACTATCCACACGAAAATACCCAGGTGCACAACTACACATGCTGAGCAACATTCTTGTAAGGTTTCATGACTATAGGTCAAATACCTTTTTAGTTACGTGCGACACAAGTTGAAAATTGGAAATTTTTACTAAGTCAAGGGCAATAACTCAATATATCCACATGAAAATACCCAGGTGCACAACTTCACATGCTGATCAACATTCCTGTAAGGTTTCATCACACTAGGTCAATTACTTTTTGAGCTACGTGCGACACAATAAGAGAAATCTTAATGCCCCCCCCCCCTATAGTGGGGGCACAAATATTTGACATTACTAAACCTATATCACTCCTACCTGAATGCAAATATCATCCGAATCATCATTAATCAACCAATACAAAACAACTTGCCAAGGCAATAAACATTAACAAGAGTGCCATGATTTAAGTTTTAGCTTAAATGGGGCCAATCAAATTAATATGAGCAAACTTGATAAAAGACTACCTAAGAACGCTACGAAGTTTGGTGATCATCTATCAATTATTTCAGTAGGAAATGTTGTTCATAGGTTTTTTCTATTTTTAAAAGGGGCCAATCAAATTAATATGATCAAACTTGATAAAATACTACCCAAGAATGCTACAGACAAAGTTTGGTGATCATCCATCCATTAGTTATGTAGCAGATGTTTAAAGGTTTTTCTATTTTTAGCCCTAGAGACCCCTAAAAGGGGCCAATTGAATTAATATGAGCAAACTTGATAAAAGACTACCAAAGAATGCTACAAAGTTTGGTGACCATCTATCGATTAGTTCTGTAGTAGATGTTTAAAGGTTTTTCTATTTTTAGCTCTGTTGACCCCTAAAAGGGGCCATTTGAAATGACATGAGCAAATTCAAGTGTGACTGTCACAAGGATGCTACAGACCAAATTTGAAGTAAATCTGCCCAGCAGTTTCAGGGAAGAAGACGATTGTTGACGCATGACGACGGAGCATCCCCCTTTGATACCAATAGCTCATCCTGAACCTTCGGTTCTGGTGAGCTAATAACTACATCAACCTTTTCTGCAGTTACTACAAATAATTGGTAATGTGCCATCTCTATCTATTATAGTAGTGTATTATTTTTCAAATGGTAATCGGTTTTTCATTTTGCCAGTCCAAAACCTTTGAGTAGACATCAGATATTGCTGAATGTCTTAAAAGTATGATCGAGTAGCAACATGATTTGAATAGACAGTGGTGCATGATGGCCTGGGTCTATACTGGTAATGTCCATCATATTGCTGCTACTAAGCAACAATAAACAAGTACACCCCTCTTATTGGCATGTCAAAGGAGCCTCGGTAAAGATTTACATGTCGAGTCCAACCTACTCACAATTTCTCAAGTCAGCAAAAAAAAATATTCTTTTAGCTTTTTACCCATCAAGCTTTCGAGTGGTCCAGGTCACAGGGTTAATCTACTACTCGTGCCAACCTTCCCCAACAGAATGCCAGTGATCGTTGACCAGATTAACCTGTCCACCAAATACTTTAGGTCACAAAGACCATTGACAAAATCTCTAATCAACCCACAGCAGTAAGATACAAGTAATGTGCAGTAGGTATCAAGTCGGCTATGGAAGCCTCAAACTGTAGATGACTGATAGAAAATTAATAAGGCAAACTTGTCTGTTGAAAGCCATTTTCGACAAACCATGTGCATTTTAACAATAAATTTGTCTGTCTAAAACGCCATCTCTCAAATAACATTAATTCATTAAAGACACAAGAACATATCCAGTTGCAGCAGGTTTATTCAACTTGATCTTATGACAACACAATTATCAGTACTAAACAACAAACAGCACTATCGATAGACAATATAAGGTAAGTGGTAAAAAGTCTTCACTGTCAATATAAATTTTTTTCACAAAAATGTCCGTACATAATTAAAATAAACAGTTCATAAATTAAATTATTTTTGTTTTTAGCTAGTTCTGCATTTCATGTATTGAACATAAAATCATTCGATTGTTGAATTACTTCTTAGCTGCTGGCTTCTTGGCTGCAGGTTTCTTTGCAGCCGGCTTCTTGGCTGGGGCCGCAGTCTGTAAAATATAAACAGATAAAGCTCATGAAAAACTTGAATTTATTTAAGAATTTCAAAATAACTTATTGAAATTAATACGTGTGATAAGGACATCAGGTTGGTTAGTGTCCGATCACGAGTTTCAGTAACACGGACCAAATTTCTCATCATATGTCCCCCTAGAACTTATGTTATATAAGTAAATACAGTGTATATAAATATTATCAGTGGAATTCCTTAAACTAGCTTTAGCACCATTCATATTGTAATTTGTTATAAACGAAATCATCATAGTAACAAATTATTGTTGTTTGCCCCTTAAACTCTGCATGGTTTTAACTAAAATCTATCATACACAGTCAAAATGAAGATTTAATGTCACAAAATATATTAAAACTCTGTATAATAATATTGAATGATTTACGTTACATTACTAAAATTAACTAGTATTAAAACCTTATAGAGTTAACCTGTTATTGCACCAAGATTACTAAATTCATTTTACTTTTCCATTATAAAGTTACCAAGTTTAACCAAATACCATATTAAATATTCATCTTTTACAGTACTGTTAAATAAAGTTTTGCAAAACATTAGTGAGACATCAGGTTGGTTAGTGTCCTATCATTTTAATTCAGTAACACGGACCAAATTTCATCACATGTCAAATACCAGAATAAACATACATTTAACTTTCTACTTGCAACAATTTTCTCTCTTGCTTGCTTTGAATATAATACAACAACCCTTCCATTTCATGGTCAAACTTGTGGTGCTATTTATTGTCCCTATCCTTTTTGTATTAGCGTGATGGAATAACCAAAAGGTGATTAATCACGAAAGTCTTACCCCACGTTTAGCGTCGACAACTCCACTTCTGGCACGTTTTTGACGCAGCTCTTGCTCCTTAGCCGCTTTACGCATCACCTTATCGTAAGGATTGAGGCGATTCATTACACGCAAGTTCTTCAGTGGGTTCTTCTTAAGGACTCTCTTCTTATTCTCCTTTCTGTATTTAAAAAAAATTCATTCTTTTTTTTGAACAATAATCACTTTTTTTAGTTTGTTTTCATGCTACAAGAAATTTTCATAATATTTCAAGTGAAAGTGAAATTTTTTCTGCAAGATTGACAAATCATTTCAGGTCGAAGTAAAAGCTTAACAAGAGAAACAGATGGGAAAGACATTCACATCAGGTTTAAAATCTTTAATCTAAATTATCTAAACAATTTAAAAACTTATGATCTAGGTGGCTTAATGAAGCTTGAGATTTTGTTGCTGACAAAGGTAAGAATATATTGTAAGCAGAACTTCTAAACAACCCATTCATTACCCAATAGGACTGGACTTGTATAACCAACAATTTACCACCAAGTGCCAGTGGCAATAGTAACAGACCAATGCTACAAGTATTACATGAGAAATGATATCTGAGCATATTCTATGCTCTACTGTATACTGCTCAATTAAAATATCTTTAAATCTGGACTGTCCGTCCAGATTTCAAATCAAGACAATTGAGTTAAATAGTCACCATGGCAAAGGAACAGCAAGTTACTTACATAGGTGCTCTGAGAACTGCTTGTATTTCATCACTCTTCAATAAACGATTTAAATCTGTGTTGGTCATTTTAGTAGCTGGAAGGCTGAAGAAATAAATAACGTCATAGTGTGAAAAATATGTAAATTTAAAAGGATATAAATGTATAATTATTGAATCACTTTACCAATGGTAAACATTTATTTCATAAAAATTACATTATCAAACTCCTTTTGTAAATTTTACTAATATTGATTGAAGGATATGCAAGAAATAAAATATTTCAATGCTTTTAGCTTTGTAAAGATCACTTGTGTTATAAACTGAGAAAAGATAAAAATGTCTGCTTTTGTACTTTTAAATTTTTAAGAAGTATACTTTTTACAGTTTAAACAAACTATTTATAGCTTGCATGTGATCTGGAAGCTTGTTTGATCACCTTTGTCCATGTTTCCATGAATTACATAATTACATAGTACTGGTGTCACATGTGGAAACATTGTTGATACCACAGATGGACCCCCGAACGCATGATCTCTGGGTTAAAAGGCAAGCACCTTTAACTTTAGACCATGTCTCCAATATGTTCAACATGTTGTGGACAGTTATTCTTCATATAACTGTTTAGACTAAGCAGAGTTGTTATTAGGAGGCGGTCTCAAATTCAAAACGGACCATCTAAGAATAATTTATTGACAACCCTGCTATGAAAACCCACTTCTATAGAAAATATCATTACTTACTTATAATTACTCTTTTCTTTAGAAGCTGCTTTCCAGGTACCATAGATATTGTCAAGTTTGTTAAAAGCCGACTGTGTCCAAATACAGAATCTACCAACATGACCTCCAGGAGCGATTTTCAGAAGATTTAGCCGGGCAACATTTAGTAATGTTATACCTGTTGAAAAATATAAACACGTTTTAAAAACAGTCTGAAACATATTCCTCAATGTTTAATTTAGATCAACAAGACTAATGTTGCAGGAAACTGACAAAAATATCATTATATCCCTATCTTGAACAGTATGACATGTCTTTTTGTTTCCAAAGTACACAATAAATGCAAAGAAATTTATACAGGCTTCGTTTAAGTGTACATTAAATTTTGCTTATAGCATAGGTATCAGGTTGGTAGGTATCTGATCATATATTTCAGTAACACGGACCAAAATCTCATCATTTACCTCAATAAAATTATAAACAATCGGGTCAAGCTTCCATACAATTATAAATATATTATTTTTTTGAGATTTTCATAGTTTTAAATTTTAATGAAACATGATAAAATGTTCGGCATCAGGTTGGTTTGTATCTGATCATGTATATCAGTAACACGGACCAAAATCTCCTCATTTACCTCAATAAAATTATGAACAATCGGGTCAAGCTTCCATACAAATATATTATTTTTTTGAGATTTTCATTGTTTTAGACTTTACTGAAACATGATAAAATGTTCGGCATCAGGTTGGTTTGTATCTGATCATGTATATCAGTAACACGGACCAAAACCTCATCATTTACCTCAATAATATTACAAACAATCGGATCAAGCTTCCATACAAATATATTATTTTTTTGAGATTTTCAAAGTTTTAAATTTTAATGAAACATGATAAAATGTAAGGTATCAGGTTGGTAGGTATCTGATCATATTTATCAGTAACACGGACCAAAATCTCCTCATTTACCTCAATAAAATTCTGCTTAAAATGAGATTATTTTAAAATGAAAATATTGTTTTCAGGACTTCTTTCCACACAATACAAGGTATCAGGTTGGTAGGTATCTGATCATGTGTTTCAGTAACACGGACCAAAATCTCATCATTTACCTTGTGTGAAATTCTCAACAAATGCATTTCTTTTATCATTTTTAATTTTCTCATGTAAATCAAAATATCTGAATAAATTTAGGTGTATTTTTTTGTTTCTGGTTTGAAAGTCACAGTGTGACACTTTACAGACTTACTGGTGGCCGAAGACCTAATGCAGCGACTCCAATCTTGTATTATTTCAGGCACTAGCAAGAAACTGGATGTCAATGCGTTATTTATGTATCAGAATGACATATTAAAAACATATCAATGAGAAGACTCGTCGACTATTCTCAGTGCCTTACAGAATTGTAGGGTTATGGGACCCGAATCCATCATGTTACATAATCACAGAGAACAAGTATGTGAAATTTTAACCCATTTAATTTAGTAGTTTTGAAGATACCCTTACATGCAAAAACTTAACAAAATTGTGACATTGACTAAGTAATAGCTTTCCATATTCTTCAAATAGTCGAGCTTAAAATGACATTGTACAGAATCAGTCAAGTTAGTTACCTGGTATATTTCTAAAAGCTCTTGATAAACCATTGTCTTGATTATAAATAATAAGAGGTCCACGTCGCTGTATTCTTCTTCTATTTCTCATTTTTCCTTTACCAGCTCTAAATCTTTTGGAATTGTAAACCTGTAAAGTTGATGATTCTTTATACTTGAACATAACTTAGGAAGCTTTAATTTCTTATACTAAATACTGTCAGATTGTATTTCTGAACAGATTACATTTCATGATTTGAGAAGTTGCAAAAAAAGGTTTTTTTGTTGTTGTTTTAAACTCACCAATGTCAAACAGACATGCAAGAAGTTAAAATGCTCTTATCTTGATAAAGCACTTGAACCACTGTCCACAACATGATAAAATACCTTTTCAGAATATTGCCATTTCACTGATGGTAATGTTTATTGTAACAATATTTGAGCGACATCAGTCACCTAGGATTGTAGGAAAAATAACTCGGAGGCTAGTTTCTTTTTCAACATCCCCTACGCCACTCAGGTGTGATCATTATTTAAAACACCAAGTCATCAGACCCAACATAAGAAACACCGAGTAAAAAAATCTTGGTAAAAAAGCAAATGCGTATCACACTTATCCATATTTATAAATTTATCTACCTTTGACAGAGATTAACCAGATGTTTAATTTGTTAAGCCTTACTTTTAAAATGTCTTGCCAAGCTTTCAATTTTCTAAGCAGCTGGACAGCTTCTTTTGTCTTTTTGTATTCTTCAATTTTGTCACTGACAACAAGTGGTACTTCTGGAATCTCTTCAATTTTGTGTCCTGAAGGAATCAAGATTAAACTTTGATAAAATTTCTGATGTTACCAGTTTTCAATAGTCTTTAAAAGAGACAACTGAAAAATGTTGGTGAAAAGGGATTTTTTTTTACATTAATTGGCTTCCAGTTTTTCAACAATAAAATGACCATGCTTTCTAATATTTGTATGTTACTTCATAAACCTAATTATTTCCAGAGCAACATTGTATCTGATGAACATAAATCTTGGAACATCTATTTATATTTGTCAAACTAATGACAACTGAATAACTTTGGATACAACTTCAAAATCACTTCCCTAAAGTAATTTTCTTTTGAGAACAAGATATTATTAAGAATCAATATTTAAACTGGCTTACCTTTTGACATAACAAGTGCTGGGATGCCTGAAGCAGCAATAGCCGAGCATAAAGCGTATCTTTTCTGGTTTGTGTTGATTTTCCTGTGCCATCTCCGCCAGGTCTTTGTGGGGGCAAACATTCGTCCTCCACGACACATGTTACCAAAGGCTCCCTGACCAGATCTGTGAGTACCACCACCACGTACACGTGGAATACGTGCCACAGCTCTTCCAGTACCCCATGATTCAGCAGAGGTTTGATGTCCTAGAATTGACAAAGTAATGCATGCTTACTTAAAAAGTTCAAACAGACATGAATTCTGCTTAAATCACTCGTGAATTAGATCGATTTTATGTTCCAAAGATGAACTTTGAAACAATATATGAATGATATTACTACAAGTATGATTATGAACTTTTACATTGCCTAAAATTACAATTTTGTGGGATACTGTTAAAACCTGCAAACAGTGGTAGAGATTAGGACTTGACACTCTAGCAACGAAGACTTCTAAATGAAAGCTTACAAATTTTGAAGTTCATTATTGTCATCCACTTATTTCACTGACCTGCTTTCTTGCTGACAGCATAAGGCTGACGACTGTTTTTCTTCATCTCAAAGTGGACAAAGCTGACAATGTCTGGTCTGATAGGAGCCCTGAATACAGCTGGCAGAGAGACGTTGCTACCAGATGATTCTCCCTTCTCATTGTATACAGATATAAGTGGACGCGCCTGAAAAAGCAAAACATTTTATTACACAAGGCAAGTTTCATATCAACAAGTCTTTTCTCGACAGTAACCAGGTCTAGATTTCATGTTTAGGCCATCCTTAAAAAAATGTTTGTTTGCAGTAACGCGACCGACTCACAAAATTTGCCCCTACTCAAAATTTTTTTTCATGGTCTGGATAAAAAATTTTTTTTTTTGAATCAGAAAATTATGCCTTGTGCTTTGTTTTCGTTCTTTTAAAGGTTAATTGAAGAAATAAAATGTAGGTCTTATTAAATTAGAATTCAGTTATCAATTTATTAATTGTTACCAGATTATCAAAGCATATATTGTCCAGCATTTTGAAATTCCATGTTTATTTGGGAGTACAGTTCAATAAAAAAAAAAAAATCGACCTACCTACCCACCTTGAAAATTCTGGGCCGGGTTACTGCAAACAAACATTTTTTTAAGGATGGCCTTATGGACTGTCTGTAAATTTATAGATAGGATAGAAATTGAAAATTTTTTTAATCCATTAATTTACAGATATTCAATGTGTAATTTTCCAGGCTGGTGAAAATGCCCGATCGGGCTTATGACATAAAAAATCATATTTCTAGAAAAATAATTAAGAGATTTCTTTTAAACGTTGTTTGTTTATTGAGCATAATGTATAACATAAACTGAAAGAAGAATATTTGGTAGCCGTCACTTTTGTGAGAATTATTTCCCCTTTTTCATGTTTATATAACACATCATTTTCCAAGTCCTTAAAAAATAAGTTACATATACAAAGTATAAAACAAAATAGGTTAAATAACTTCTTTATGATCCAATTCATTGCGCCAACACCTATCAGCATACATTTCATTCAGTTTTCAAAAAAAAACTTCAAAGTATAATGTTCAGTGTCAAAGTATTTATGCCAGCAACAGAATATTAAATCCAAATATATAGAATAAATGTAACCAATTATTTTTCTATCTGTTTATGTCATATATTATGCTCAATAAACAAACAAAGGTTAAAGAAATATCTTTTATATATTATTTTTCTAGAAATATGATTTTTTATGTCATAAGCCTGATCGGGCATTTTCACTGGTCAGCCTGTTTGCTGTTTTTAGTCCAACACTAAAATTTGCAGCTTAAGACAAGTTGATTTAATGGTTGTTTATATTAAAGGTAATGGGCGAGTTTCATCTTTGAACGATTGTCACAGGGTGAGAAAAATGTGTAGCCTGACTGGGACTCGAACCCAGGACTCGCGGAATACCGTACTGTGGTAATAGTGAACAGTTCTGAACCATGACACAATGATATTGAAATTTTTATTTCAAGTGAAAATTAAGTCATCACATTGTTCTGAATCTTACCATACTGTTACATTTAATGATATTGTAACCTTAGTTTTAACCTGCGGTTTTGAATTTTAATTAAACTTGAATTAGTTTCTATCTTCTCATTTAATTTCCGTTAATTTTCAGATAAATAATCTGTTAATTACTGTAAAATTATGGATCCATCAAAAATTTACACATTGTCCGTAAATATCAAACCAGGGTTTTACATCACTTTTATATTTTAGGGGTCCAGTGGATGCACAGACTAGAAAAGTAGGAGTCCAGACCTAAATTTTAGGGGTCCAAAATTATTTTTACTGAAAAAGACTATGAAGACCACTCAATTTTGCTCAAAAACATTTATTTATCCTGCAAGAAATTTTATATTCATTATTTATATTATTGTTTTAATACGTATACATGATTTCAATATCACTTTAAAAGTTTGTCTTATTATCATCATTCATGTGCCTTTCAAGGGTTAGTCTTAGAGTCTGCCTTGTGCACCTTCAGCAAATATCTTTGCTGCTGGCAAAAAATCCAGATGTTCAATAGGTGGTCCTATCAGCTTTATGAACATAAGTCTGTTAAGTCTCAAACAATCCTAGACCTGGTAGATCCAACTGCATTTTTTTCTCAGAAAATCAAGTTTTAATTTTTTGGCAGCTGTTGGGATTTTGAAGTCAATACAATGGTCTTTTTTAATGACAGTCATAAATCTGTTCAGATTTTATGTGAAACAAACAGAAAATAGTATACGTTATCCAAGATTTCAAGATTTATTCAAAACCAAGGCATATAATATGCGAATTACAGTCAACCCGGCCCCAAGTCAACCCGGCCTCAAAATTGGTCAACCCCAGACTTCCTGAAATACGTCGGTCCGACGGACATGTCCGATAAATTTTGATCAGGTCCGACAATTTTTTATTCCGGATCGGTCCGACTGTCCGGCTTTTATCCAAGCCGCATGTATACAAAATGGCGTCGCTAAAGGTGCCAAACCTGGGAAAAACCGAAAATCTACGTCAGAAGAGTGCGCAGAACATCAATAAAAGGATGAAAAGAATAGACCTGAGACAAAATTTATTGAAAAATGAAAGCAGAATCATGAATGATTGGTTTATGACAGGGAGGAGATGAAAATGCGCAGTACGGATTGTGCCGATTTTTACGGCGAAAAAATAAAAAACAAAAAGTGTCTTAGAAATACAAACACAAGTTTTTCTTTGATTTTGATCAATTTTATTTGGTCCGACAGATTTTGTTTCGGTCCGACAGATTTTCGTGGTTTGTCAGACCGAATGTCTGACAGTTTTTTTCAACTTTCGGGAAGTCTGCAACCCGGCCCCAAAATTGGTCAATCCGGCCCCACAGTATTTTTATTTGGTCAATGCGGCATCAAAATTGGTCAGTGCGGCCCCAAAATCGGTCATTCCGGCCCCAAAATATGTATTTTTCAAAGAAAACTATTCAGGTCATTTTGTTGTACGATGGAATAAAATTATTAATTGAATATTATTAACTATAGAACAATAGTAAAAAAAACGCGAACTGGCATAAAAGTGTCGGTAAATTTAATTGCGCCGATTAAGACTTTAATAGAACAGAACAGAACATATCTTTATTTTCACCCAAACATTTTTCAATAGAATATGGGGCATAACACAATTTTTATATAACAGAGAATGCATAGTTCCGGTACGAACAAAAGAAGTATATAATCATTTAACACAGTACATTGCCAATGAGGAAAAAAACACACACACACAAAAAAAACTTTACTAAATTAGAAAAAACAAGATTGCATTTGAGAAAAATGCTATGCCACCGCATGGTTCAAATTTCATAGCTGTACATCAAAGGACAAGAAAGTAGGTCACATCATCAAAATCTAGGTCAAAGTTCAATTTAACAACTAAAACTGTGCACATGGTCAAAATGTCATTGCTGTACATCAAAGGACAAGAAAGTAGGTCACTGTCCCCTTGGGCAAGGCATAATTTTGACCCAAGGGTTTAATAACAATCTTGATACAGGTCCACCAAACAACATTTCAAATCAAATATCAAAGCTATAGCTTTCTCCCATTCAGAAAACATTTGTTTTATTTTCTGGTTTTACTACGTGTACACAATGAGAATCACTGCCCCCGGGCAGGGCCAATTTTTGACATTTAAACAACTTTGGTAGAGGACCTGTAGATGATATTATATATCAAACATTTAAGCTCTATGCCTTGAACCTTCAGACAAAAATTTTTTTTTTCACTATATGTACATAATGAAAATCAATGACCCCCGGGGCTGAATCAATTTTGACCCAAGGGCTATAATTTGGACAATCTTGCTAGAGGTTCACTACACAATGTTTCCTGCCAAATATCTTATCTCTATCCTTTGTAAATTTAGAGAAGATGATTTTTTAAGTTTTAACTATATACATATAAGATAAACCTATGGCTCCCAGGGGCGGGGCTAATTTTGACACAAGAGGCAAAATTTGAACAACTTTGGTAGAGTACCTTTAGATGATGTTATTTAACAAATATTAAAGCTCTAAGCCTTGTACCTTCAGACAATAAGATTTTTTTATTTTTTACTATATGTATATATTGAAATCAATGACCCCCAGGGCGGGGGCAATTTTGACCCCAGGGCTATAATTTGAACAATCTTGCTAGAGGTTTACAACACAATGTTTCATGCAAAATATCTAACCTCTAGCATTTGTCAATTGCTAGAAGAATTTTTTTTAAGTTTTTACTATATACATATAAGGAAAACCAATGACCCTGGGGCGGGGCCGATTTTGACCCCAGGGCTATAATTTGAACAATCTGGGTAGAGGTCTACCAGACAATGCCTTATGCAAAATATCTAAGCTCTAGGCCTTTTGGGTCTTTACAAGAAGGTGTTTTAAGTTTTTACTATATGTACATATAGCGAAAATCAATGACCCCGGGGCGGGTCTGATTTTGACCCAAGGGCTATAATTTGAACAATCTTGGTAAGGGTCTACCAGATGATGCCTCATGCAAAATATCTAAGCTCTAGGCCTTTTGGGTTTTTACAAGAAGGTATTTTAAGTTTTTACAATATGTACATAGTGAAAATCAATGACCCCGGGGCGGGGCCAATTTTGACCCGAGGGCTATAATTTGAACAATCTTGTTAGAGGTCTACCAGACAATGCCATATGCAAAATATCTCTAGGCCTTGTGGGTCTTTTCAAGAAGATTTTTAAATTTATTCTCTTAATTCCTTTTGGTTCCCATGACAACCAGATTTCTGCATGGAATGAAATTCTTTGAGCAACTTTGGAAGCCCTTCACCCAAGAATCAATCCTGCCAAGTTTGGTTGAAATTGGACCAGTGGTTTTTCACAAGAAGATTTTTTAAGTTCACTATATAATCTATATAACACACACACAAACACACACACAAACACACAGGTGAATCGCTATATGCCACCGCATCACAGATGCTGCGGTGGCATAAAAATACAAACTATGGAATGATATATCGAGCAGGGGTTTGTTAACATTAAATCGATATACACCATTAATTTATTATTCTACGTGTAACTACATTTGAAGAAAAAAATAAAATAAGGAGGTTGTCTATTGTAATAATTTGAACAGGTATACAACACAATACGCACCTGTATGTAT